TTTCTGTGTACACCCCTCCCCCCGCAAAAAAAAACCCCAAACCAAAACAAAACCGGTAATGGAAGCAAATACTGTTGAATGATAATGCACGGAGGAGATTGTAATCATGGCAATGAAATGATATAAGGCCAATGCCCTCCCATGTAAACAAACTATCACTCAGTTCACAATAAAAACTTACACACACAAAAGAAAAGATAGTGGAATTTTTCCATGAACTTTTTGAAGCACCTTCATATGCACAGGATTCTTACTGACAGACTTTTCTGAGTAATACCATTTTAAACTTCTCATTAAATTTAGTAGACTATTAAATTTAGTCTACTAAGATCCAGAAAGGTATTTTCCATATTTAGTTTTTGCCCATCTTAACTTGGGACAGATACACTATGTTTGGCCCTGTTAGAAGAAACTTTGAAAATGCCGTATCTCTGAGTAATGTAATTTTAAATAGAGGAGTAGTAAAACGAGCACTTCAAACTAGATGTTATTGAAGTTATTTGCATCTCAGGTCCAACAAGAGCTGAGGAAAACGATACAGCTCAAGTCTTAATAATATGAAGGGTTTCAAAAAAATTCGTGGGAAAATGCAGTATTCTGTTGATTCCATTTTTCCACAAACTTTTTGAAGAGTCCTCATATACTTGGAGGTTTGATGAGCTATGAAAGATTTTATTGTTTTAGGTAGCCTTGAATAGCCTGGTCTTATTTAATACTAGGGTTTTCTGCTAATATAGGATTTAATTATCTCCCAAAGCAAACACCAATACTGAAAACAAGAATCTGTAATTGTAGTTGTAGGTATGGAATGTAGACAAAATTTGTGCATCTTCTATAATTATGATGTTGGACTACACCCAGAAGGAAATGCCACTGAAAAGTTATTGGAGGTCTTCAATAGCACCATTTGGGAAAAGAAGTGAATGGCCATCACAAAAGTTACTAAACTTTTGACAGCTTAGTCATCAAAACCTTCAACTTTATCACTGAAGTATTCATTCACCGTTTTTGTACTAGTTAGATTTTGATCTGTTGGTCCAATCTCCAAGCCCAAGAAGGAATACTTTCTACAACATTTCTGAAAGATGCCAATCCAGCCATTGCTTGGAGACTTCTAGCCAGTTCCAACGCTGAATGGATTGTTAAAGGCAGTCTTGCTCCTTGTAACCTTTCATCTTCTCATTCTAGTTTAGACTGCTACAATATACAAATCATATCTACTCACTCTTCTACATGACTTCCACATATATAAAAATAGTAACACAGTATTCCTTTAACTCAACGGAAAGCAACCCTAGTTTTTGATATCTATTATGTTTGATAAATTCCAGATGCTCTAATTCCAATTCTCTCCTCTGAATAAAATTTCCCGTTATGCAATTGACATAACTGAAGATAAATTCCAAGCTTGACTGGTTTAATGGACATAGGCCTACTTCCCATGACCGAGTGTTGCTGTTGTCAAGTGCCGTTGAGTTGGTTCCAACTCACAGCAACCCTATTTATAACAGAAAAGTTGCTCAGTCCTGCAACATCCTCACTGAATATACAACCATTGCAGCAAAAAAACCCTCTACAAGCAAGTTCTTTTTCAACTTGGAGATCTGATGAGCTATGAAAGAGTCTCTCTTTTCATAATCTCCGCACCTGGAAGGGAGCCCTGAAGGCACAGTGGGTATGTGGTAGGCTGCTAACCAAAAGGTCAATGGTCTGAACTAACCAGCTGCTCTACAGGAGAAAGATGTGGTAATCTGCTTCTCTAAAGATTTCAAACTTGGAAACCCCAGGGAGCAGTTCTACTTGGTCCTATAGAGCTGCCATGAGTTAAATTTGACTCGATGGCAATGTTTTAGAATATACTTGGACTCCTTGAAGCCAATAAAAGGCTTTACATTTTTCTCTACTGGTATTTCTGCATACCTTAAAAATACTTACGTCTATGAAGCCATGGAACTCTCCTTTCCTTCCCGCAGAGTTCCAAGACTTCAGGGACTGCAACGCATTTCAATTTTTTGCTATAACACACACTACTAGAATGACTATCTCCCATATTTTGTCACCTCTTCATTCATCAGAAAGAAGTTCAGAGAAGGTCCCCCTTCACTGAAATCTGCTGTTTTCTAGGGGATTGCACTGTCAAGAATTTCGGATTTTAGCAACATTAAAGCTGCAGTCTCCGTACTACCAACTTGCCTCTACAAGTTTGGGATGTATCACACACAAAAATCACTCATATCCTTTGTGTGTGTGGCGGGCAGGGGAAGGGCAGAGTGGTGGTGGTAGATTAGAGGAAGCAATTTTCATTATAATTGTTCTCATAAGAAATAACTTCTTAAATCATACTTAGCTAGGAGTATATAACCTAGTTTAATAATAAAAAATACTTAACAGAAGAAAAAATCTTGTCAGTTTTATTTTTATTATCTTTCTCACTAACATAAGAACTTAATTTATTTGGGGCTGGCAATCAGTCTTTTGATTGAAATATATTTTTTAGATTAAAGATAAAACCAAATTTTTTTTTCTAAACCATTCTCTTAGGATTCATTTTCACTACTAATGTTCTCCGGGAATCAAAACAAAACAAAAAGCATGCTTCCACCCTAATAAAACTTCCAAACTTTAATCAGCTAAAAATTGAAAAAGAGGGAGTTTCTTTTCAGAAGTGTGCTCTATAATGTAAATACAAGAAACTGGTTGATTAGGCAGTTACAAGTACCCCCACTTCTGTTGAACTTTCAACAGTATGCTTACATGTACATTATCATTATAATTTACTACCTATACAAGAGACTATAAAACATCTTCTTTTAGAGCAGGAGATGATGTAGCTGGATGTTCCTATTTAAAACCATTTATCAACCATTTAGAATGAATTTACAAAGCCTTTTTAAAAATCTCATACACCTAGTCTAAATGCAGGTCTTTAAAAAAAGCTTTCAGTTGAAGGCAGTCAGTAACGTTTATTACTCCTTTTTATAACTGAAATGTTTAATTTATGACCTTTTTATAAACTGAAATGTTTAATTTGATAACTGGACTAGGTTGGGTTGTGGGGTATTGGCTAAGTTGTGGGGTAAACTGGTTCTTAAAATATTAGGTTTTCCATTTTAATGTGAACAAACACCATGAAATCTATGTAAAAGGTGCTTTGAAAAGTTGGGCGGAAATTGGGGCTGGAATGAAGGTAGGCAACAAGGTTAATAAAGCTTAAACCTCTAAATATTACTATTCTCAGATATGAACTCATTAATACACAAAATTCTTGAAAGGTAGCAATGAAAACCTTCCTTGGCTATTTTTATCCACATATCAAGGAACAGAACCTAAGTAACACTACTCTTTGGATTATGTGTCAGTTGGCGTGACAGTTTGCCAAATCAGTTGTTTGAATGTTGAATACATGATCAAATAGGCCAATTCAAGTTGGCTGAGGACAGGTAGCACTGACTGTCACATTTCAGCAGAATGACTAAAAAGGTGAGATTTGGCTGTCCCAGTCCATTGTCCACCAGCTATTTCTAGTTTACCATCAGTGATTTCCCAAACCTCCTACTCTCAAAGACACTCTAGAGTGGGGACACAACGAAGGTACAAGGGATCAAGAAGTTTACCTCCTGGTCGTATTTATATTTTAAATCAGGAGCAGATTAAAGCCAACCAATTTCCAATTGATAGTTGCCTTCCAGTTGATTCCGAGTCATGACAACTCCATGTGTGTAGAGAATAACTGCTCCATAGGGTTTTCAAGTCTGTGATCTTTCAGAAGCAGATTGCCAAGTCTGTCTTCTGAGGCACCTCTCGGTTAGTACTTACCGGGCTAATACCCAGAGACTTCCTACAATGCGTAGAAAGTGCAAAAGCACTGTCTATAAACAAGGCAAGCTTCCTATGTGCTTAAAAAAAAAAAACCAAACATATGTAATACACAAAATAAACACCATGATTATCAGATATGAGAACCTATTCCTACTTTCAATCATGCCTACTCAATGGAGGTTAAAGATAGCTACAATCGTTCTCAAAGTAAACAATCATAGCTGTTTTAAGTAAATAAGCAATGTTCTGTACTTTAAATTTAATTGAAGAATTTAGCTATTTTAACTAAGTCAGATCTCAGTTTTCACTAATTTACCTATTTCCACTATTACTCTGTCTAGAGCCTTGGTAATAATGAGCGTTGTTGTGAAGTGCCCTTACATCAATTCCGACTCACAGCGACCCTGTACAGGGTTTCTGAGGAGCAGCTGGTGGGTCTGAACCGACCTAGCGGTTACCAGTCCAGTGCTTATCCTAATGCGACTGATAAATCAATTAACTCTAATTGATGTCAATGGCCAATTTAGCTAGTCCTACTAAATTACTTGCATTTTACAAGGCCTTTACCCCCTTAGTCCCTGGGTGACACAAAAGGTTAAATGCTACTTGGTTAGTAGTTAAGACTACTAACCACAAGGTTGGAGGTTTGAATCCACCGAGAGGCACCTGGAAGACAGGCCTGGCAATCTGACTTGCAAAGGTCACAGCCTTGAAAATGCTATGGACCAGTTCTATTCTGCACACATGGCGTCGCCCGAGTCGGAATCCACAACAAAACGATCTCTTAACCAAACAGAACTTGCAACTGGATAGTGGAAACTGCAAGAGAACAGGAGATTTTGGAGAGAGTTTGTTTTTCAAATCACAAGGCTTAGTAACTATATCCCCTACTCTCAGGATGGCAAGACCGGAAGTTGGCACAGGTATTGTTGAGACTGTAACACAAAGCCAAAATAACAAAAAAGCGTCCAGTAAGCGCAGCACGCTCACCGCCTAGCCACCAATCTCTTCAACTCCCACTCAACAAGAGTGAGATCTCCAAGATCCGATTCCTCGGGGGCGGGGGGAAGCTGGGGACAAAGACGCACTGTGTGGGGTTTTCTGGGCCTAAGGGCCCGGGAGCCCAGGCCGAGGCACAGGTGGGGTCTGGAGGACAGCGAAGCGGCGCTGGCCCCGTTTACCTGCGGCGAAGTGGAGCGGGGTGGACTTCCTGCCCGCCGTGTCGCGGCTGTTCACCTTCTCAGGAGTCACCAGCCTCTTGACTCGCTCTACGTCCCCGTTGCGACACGCCTCGAACAGCTCGCGGGCAGCCGGCTCCACGGCGTCGACCGCCGCGCCCGCGCAGGCCGCGCCCCCGCCGGCGCAGCGGCGGCCCGACATGATCCTGGCCACCGCCGCCGCCAACAGTAGCGCCAGCAGCGGCAGCAGGAGCCCCGGCCCTGCGAGCAGGAGGGCGAGGCCCCCCGGTGGAGACGCGCTCAGGGCCCGGGACGCTCGGCTCCTTGCTGTCACCGGGCCCCGCGCAGTCCCATGGTCAGTCCGCCGCGCGATCCCCGCTCGGCCCCGCGCCCCCGGGCTGCCTTGAGGCGACGGAGACAACACTAACTCTCCGTCTGAGCCCCGAAGCAACGCGGCGGCGGAAGCTGGCAGGTCCCCTCTTGCCAGCTCTGCGGATTCCAGGAGCGCACGTGACGTGGTCGCGCGTGCGCAGTAGCAATAGACCAACTGGGCAGGTTTGGGTGAATCGGGTCGCGCAGAGGGGTTTGTGGGAAGTGTTAAGCGGGAGCCATTGGCGGTGAAAAAAGGGGCTTCGTTCCACCGCCATCTTTGTGTTAGAATTTGCAGACGCTGAACAGCCGTATTTTCATGACCTTTCCCAGCTGCAATTCCTTATTGTTTCCTACAGTGAAAAAGAGCCCTTCAGAGTTTTACCCCGATGTATTCCTTTGGAATTCTTATTGTGGAAGTTTTCCTTTTTTTTCAGCTTCCACTATGATGTTCTCCTTGGGGATTTGTTTTCCGTTTTCATAACTACGTCTCTTCCCTTTCCCTGCAACTGTTTCGTTGTTGTATGTTTTTTGTTTGTTTTCTTGTAAGCCACCTCTGGGAAAGGAAGGCGTTACTCTCCACAAGTTTAGATGAGCTGCGCCAAGATCATGTATAGGAAAATGATGAAAGTTTATTTTAATTCGAATGTAATAGTAATTAGTGGAATGACTTTGATCAGTTACAATTATTAGCTCAGAACAAACTAGAGTGTTAAGACCTAATTCAGTATTGTATTGAAGGTGACTGGGGCGAGAATAAACAATGCATAACCTAATCAAGAGAATTTCCTGCCTTTTATTGTTTTTCTGTGGCACAGGAACCCAAGAAAAGCATAATTTAAACGTTTAAGACAGTGTGACAGTCACAACAGTCGATATTATGATCATTCCCCATGGCATCCCTTTTGCCTCAAGGAACTGTTAGTTTGAAAGAAATTAAACTGCTACATGCTGATTTTAGGCATGTTGACAAGCATTTCCTCCTTATATTAATTTCTTACCATTTTCCAGGAAATCCAGTATTTGGGAGTATGTTTATTGCTGTGTCAAAAGAGGGGACGTAATGTTTAACTGTAAGAGGGTCTTTTAAAATGTAATTAAAAGATAATGAAATGTTTCTATAAACTTTTTGAAGTGTATATATTTATATCTATTTGTACATATATTTGTTGTTAACTGCCGTTGAGTTGGTTCCGACTCCTAGAGACCGTGTATAGGGTTTGGTTCCGACTCCTAGAGACCGTGTATGGGGTTCCGACTCCTAGAGACCGTCATGGAGCGGCCGTGAGGGTTAAACCATTGACCTTGCGGTTCACACCGATCTTGGGGTCCAGTTCTTATACTACAGCGCCACACCAGCCGCTCCTCGGAAACCCTATGGGCTGCTATGGGTCGGAACCGACTCAACTGCATTTAACAACATTGTTGTTATTATTAAGTGCTGTCGAGTCGGTTCTGACGACCCCGTAAAGGCTTTCCTAGGAGCGGCTGGTTAGTTTGACCTGCAGATTTTGCGGTTCAAAACGACCTTGCGGCTCAGTGTTTATCCTACAGCGCCACACCAGGGCTCCATGTTACTTCATAGGTAGAAAATGATATATTTAACGTAAGTTTGTTCCATATTAATAAAATGAACACCCGTATGCCCACCTAAAACTGGAACACTAGCTACATCTTTTTTTCTATCGTTGCCCATGCCCATTTAATCCCTTTACCAAATATATGCATTTTTATTACTTATTAGTTGATATTTATCCTTCTCTTCTCATGTATGTATCCCTACACAACATAATGTTCAAGTTTGCTTATATATGAACATCTGTTGTTTTTGTTGTTGCTATTGATTAATATGAGGAGTGCTTGCCTCTCTAGTATTATTGCTCATCTTCTAGACCTTTCTATTGATTGTCTGAAGTCTGAGCCACGTGGGTGAATTCATTTCAAAACATGAAATGTGACTAAGGGCCATTGTTTTGGGAGTTCCATCAATCTCTATCCAACCAGTAAGCTTGGTCATTTGTATGATAATTGAGTTTTGTTCCATTGCTGTTGATGGGGTTCCCACTCGAGGTCTCCCTCTTTTTTGATGACCCTCTTTTTTCACTGTTCCATATGACTGGGGAAAAATGTGGAACAAAGACTATGAATCGTTACAGGAGTGGCAGGTGGGGAACAGTAGTGCAACACTTAACCCACTGCACCATCAAGACTCCTTAGCATGAAGACCCTTTTATTAACCCTTAAACAGGACAAGGGCAAAGCAAAGACAGTTGTGTGAATGAAGGAAACCATTAGCATGAGGCCAATGGATTCCCACCAACTCATAGCCATGGTTTTCATATGTATGATGGAGAACAAAATAAATCATCACATGATTATGATGGGTGGTGTGGCACTATGGGTTAATGTGCCATACTGCAAAGCTGTTTGAACTGCAAGGTCAGTGGTTCAAGCTCACCAGCTGCTCCTCGGAAACCCGACACAGGATTGCTGTGGGTCAGAACCGACTCAACAGCACTTAACAACAACAAGGTACAATTGAAAGGAGCCCTGATAGAGTATTGGATTATGAGCTGGGCTGCTAACCACAAAAATCAGCAGTTCGAATCTACCAGTCACTCCATGGGAGAAAGATGATGCTTTCTGTTCTCCTAATGACTTACAGCCTCAGAAACTACACAGAAGTGTGCCCTGGGAGGCTTGTCAGCCAGGAAGTCAGGAGGTATGTGGGAGTGGGGTGAAATGGCAGTGTTCCCTGTCCTAAATGAAAGTCCTATGGGCCTATGTGTTGTCAGGGCACCCAATTCAGAAGCAGTTTGTGCTGGCCCTTAAGATAGCTGAGATCAGAGTCTGACAGGACCAGAGGGCAGCTAAAGAGCAAGGGCAGCTGCTTATGAGATTTTCTGCTAGACTAGGGCTGGGCTGGCCTGGCCATTCTATGGGTTCTGCTGGTCTAGAGCAGAGCCTGTCTGAAGCCAGGAGCCAAGGCTGCTCACACAGTGCAGCTCACAACCACTTATTGCCAAAATCCTGGAGATTTCCAGGATCTGCACCAGGTGGACAAGTATAGAGGCTGGCCACACCTCTAGACACCAGGGGAGCATGTGGAACAAGAAAGAAGCACACTTTTCCAGTGGCCAGTTACCCATGTGCATCTGCACCATCAAGCCACTAACTGCCTCCACAGTTGCTTGCAAATGTTTAAGATGGCTGCATCATGTCTGGCCCCCTGCTAGTCGGTCTCCTTTTGCTGTCCCTGTTTAGCTTGTCCTCCCAGTAAGTGCTTAATTAGCTTGTCTAACCTTTCCTGTGGAAGGGTTCCAGGATTACCATCTTTGTCTGTTTCATTTAGTATCCTGTGACCGACTGTATTGTAGAGGAAACAGGCAGTCAGTCACCGTGTGCTTCTGCCTAGTCTGCCATCTTGCTGGAAATCCCAAACTATCATTCTCCTGTGGTCCTTTTTTCACTTAAGAAAATGTAAGAGTCATGCATTCATTTTCAGCGCTGTATGGAGTCGCACCATGTGAATAGATTACAAGTACGTAACTCTACTGGACATTTGGAATGTTCCCAATTTTTGTTATTATAAAAGTTGTGCTATGAACATTCTTAAACATTCCTCTTTTGCACATGTGTAAAGATTTCATATGAATGACTTTCAAACTTTTTCATTTCACAGATTTTTATTTATCACATTTTCTAAATGCATTTAAAAATGTATTATGGTAAAACATATACAGCAAAAAAAACTAGTTTAACCATTTTTGTATGTATGATTCGGTGACATTAATTGCATTCACCATGTGCTGCCAGCAGTACTATCTGTTAGCAACTGTTTTTCATCACCTATACAAAAACTTGGGAGCACGGTGGCTCCATAGAATAAGCACTAGATTGTGAACCACAAGGTCCATGGTTCGAGCCCACCAAGTGCTTTGTGGGAAAAGGATGAGGTTTTCTGCTCCCACAAAGATTTAAAGCCTCAGAAACCCTCTACAAGTATACTATGAGTTGGAACCAACTCCACGGCACTTAACAACATCATACAAAAACTCAAAACTCCGTATATAATAACTCTCCAGTTGCACTGGAACCTTCATCAAAGATGTAAAATGACTAGGTTTTAGAGATTATCTTTCAAGATCCAAAGGGGGCGGGGAATTCTTTTGACAAACTTAAATTCTTTACCCCCTACCTTGTGATTTTTACTTTTTAAATCTTATTTAAGAAGTTCCTCTTCTCTCAAAGGCTATAAACACATACTAGTTTGTTCACTTGGTCATTCACATTTAGGTCTTTAATCTATACTGGGAATATCTGGTTTTTTTTGGGGAGTTTATGAACTAATATAAGGAGATCTGGTAGCGTAGTGGTTACGAATCGGGCTGCAAACTGCAAGGTCAACAGTTCGACTACCAGCTGTTCCGCGGGAGAAAGATGAGGCTTTCTGCTCCCGTAAGGATTTACAGCCTCAGGGTCGCTATGAGTCGGAACTGACTCCATGGCACATAACAACAACAACATGAACTAATATAAGCTGAATTTAACAGTATCACCTGTAAAACAATCCATTATTTCCCCACTGCATTATGGTGCTATCTAGAATTTCCATTTCATCATATAATCTTGGGCAAGTAACTTAACCTCTCTCTGTTTCAGTTGCCTCACAGGTGATAATAATAGTACTTACCTCCTAAAGTGGAGTCCTGGGGTGGCGCTGTGGGCTAATGCGTCAGACTGCAAAGTCATTTGAACTGCAAGGTTGGTGGTTCAAGCTCACCAGCTGCTCTTTGGAAACCCTATTCAAGGTCGCTATGGGTTGGAATCGACTTAACAGCACTTAACAACAACAACAACTTCCTAAAGTGACTAGGCAGTTTACATGTGTTTTCACAACTATAGCACTCAGAACGGGGCCTAGCATATAAAAAGTCTATTATCAATATTTACTATTATTATTCAGGGAGTCCTGGTGTGGTGCTGTAGGATAAAGCTGGACCACAAGGGCAACTCGAACCACAAAGTTGTTGGTTCAAACATACCAACTGCTCCTTGGAAACCCTATATAGGGTCACTATGAGTTGGAATT